AAAATCCCTCAAACACCATGAAGTGTAGACATGATAGGCTACTTTCCACATTTCCAGCAGCAAAGCTGTCAATTAGGCCCATTATCTTTAACAGGGATCATTTCCTCCAACAAAACAAAATGTTGGCACTAATTAATGGTGCTATTAAGTGTCTGCAAATGATCAGTTTCTTTCTTATGAAGGGGTGGGATGAAAGTTCCACTTCTTTCCACTCCTTTTTGAACAATCTTTTCATTGTCTGTTGTTGTTGCTTTCTTTTCTTTTTTAATGTTCAAAATAAACTTTCAAATCAAAATCAATCAAATGAATTAAACTTCCCGTCATGACTGGGCTGCATTTCTGTCAGCCATCAACAGCTGATTGGCCAGTGGGTGGTGCTTTTTATAGGATCAGATTCAACCCTGAACTTACCCTGCTCCGGAGCAGGATAGCCGTTCAGAGTAAGTTACCATGGTGATCTACCCCGATAAGAACTGAACCGGCTTCGTGAGACCGAAAACCCAGAGTTAACCCTGAAGTTACCTCGCTAAGACATTAATCATGCTTCCTGATACAGGCCCCTGATTACCCATAATGCACCTGTGTGGTAACAGCAGCTCACAGAGAGTTTAAACGTCTGCAGTGACCTCAGCGTCCTGATTCTTTATATCAGTTATTAACTGTATGATTATTAAAGTCTTACATCCTCACTAAACTCTGGGCCGACAGATGATACTAATGTTGTTGTGTTGTTGTTGTTTATTTCGTTTTTGTTGTTCTTTATTTCCCCTGTTGTTTCAGGGAAACAATAAAATCTTCATTATTAAAAATAACTGAACAGTTTTAAAGTCATCAGTCCTTTATTTCTCTTAACTACCTGTCTAAGGCTACAGGCTAACGTTAACTACCTCATAATAGCTAACATTAACTACCTGCTCACAGCTAGCAGCTGTAACCTGTTAACAGTTAATGTAAACTATCTGCTAAAATCTAGCATTAACAGCTCTCCTCCTGATGTTGACATCACAGATTAGTTGTTAATAATGAAACATCATCAGGGAGACAACAGGCGGCGTTCTCTGATGTGTCCATAGTGTGCTCAGGGGGACGAGGGAACAACGTCAGTCTGGAGTCCATCTTTTAATTCTGAGACACAGCAGATAAACATCAAACACTGTCACTGATGATGTCATGTGTTATTCACTGATTGCCTGATGTCAGTTAATGAGGAGGTACGACACAGTCTGACCTGAGGTCATTTCCTGTTTGTTTGTTTGTCTGTTAGGCACACAGTTCCTGCTCAAATGTGGAGAGAAGCTCAGGGGAAACAAGGCGACTGGTACGACTCCACATTTAGCTCCTCCCACTCCGTCATCCTCTATCTCCATGGAAACGCAGGGACCAGGTGACATACACATATACACACATTAGGGCATTAACGACTTTGTTTTTTTTCAGGTCGACTTATCTGTCAATAAAGTCGAAGTTGAGTCGACAAGTCATTTGATGACGTCATCACATTGACACGGCGGAGGAAAGTGAAGTATCTCCACACATGTGATGTGTGTCTGTCAAGGCCTGAACATACTCGGGCGGAACGTATGCGGAATGGACTCTGCAGAGGTCCGTGCGGATTCAAAGCGGACGTCCGCAAGCCCTGTGCGCGCAAAGTTCAGATTTTACAACTGCGCAGACTCCGCTCCGCGCACCAGTGACTGCTCGGCATGTATTTTTCACATCGCGGGGATTTTTCACAGACATTTTTACAGGAAACTACAACGCGGAAGTGCGCTCGACTATGAAAGCCCGAATGACTGCGGACATTCCTCACGGAGTCAGCTCTGCTTAAGTATCAGTGTAAGACAATCAGAGACAGTGATTGCATTCCGTACACAAGCACACACAGAGAGAGAGAGAGAGAGAGAGAGGGAAAAAACACACGACATGTCGACTCCTCCTGGGGGGTGTCGACTTGTGCCACTGACGCCGACTCGACGACAAATCGGCTTTTCTGTTAATGCTCTAACACCCACACACACACACACACACAC